TCGCGCCAACTTTCGAGCACTTCCGTAATTGCTTCACTTGCTACAGAAATATTCAATAACCGCGACTTTGCCGCCGGCTTAAGCTTTTCATTTTGCTCGGACAGGGAAATACCGTGAGAACGAAAATAATAAAAAGAAGATGATAATAAAATGTAAAATTCAAAACAAGTGCATAAATCCAAGCGATGCATTGCGCTTGCAGATATTCAGATTAGATACGGCGGCGCCGCAATTCCGACGGTTTCCAGGTGCATTTTAGTATAGTTTCAATTTTTCGCATGGAATACTCCAACGTCTTGCGCTCATATCGTTTTCTTCTTTTTTGAGTATGTTCAGTTTCACACATGATGCGAATAATGTACCTATTATTTTATCATTGTTGTTTATTAAATATTGAGAAAGAAATAAAATAATACATTACACACATTACGCGTGAAACGGAACGCACCTTTTGTCTTATGATAATCAATTCCTAAATGATACAATCACTTAATATTTAAGCTGAGGTTTATTTCTAGTTTTATTAAAAAGACTAAAGTTGTTCCACCTTTCGGTAAACTTCAGTTCACTGTCTTACTCTCTTATATTCTTACTTTTTTACTCTTTTGTTTCCAATAGATAAACAAATAGTTTATCTAAAGCTGGAACAACCAGCCTTTATAGAATTATTTGAATTGGTAGTTTCATTTATAGTAGTTATAGTTTTTATTCTTATTTAGTTTAATTTTTTTGCGTCATATAACCCAAAGCTACAAACATTAGAGTTGAAGGCGTCTTCTTTCCTCGACCGAGGGGGTACTCCAGAAAAAAATTTAAGTCGATGACTATGAAATAATGAAAGCTTTGATTAAGATTTAGGTTGATGATTGAAATAATTAGAGATGACAGATGCATGAGTCTAACTCGGCCAGAAACTTTCAAAAGATTAAAAATGGTGCAACCTTCAAACTAAGAACAATCGCTCTGGCTAAGTCGCCATACGGAACTTACTCATATCGTCGCTTGTCTCGATTGCTCCCGCAAATAGAATCATACATCCCTCTAAGGAACGAGAATCACGTTTCCACCGCGATTTATTTCATCGGCGAATCGAGTGGCTCTTACCGCAAATTTTCGCCCGATGTTCGGGCGTGAGACTTGCCAAAATACCACTAAAATTTCCTTCCGATTTCACTTCATACAACGAGGAAAATCCTGTTGCACAACCGGAATTTTGCATTTCTTGTTGCTTCTCACGGAAAAGAATGACCGAGATTGATGAGAATCTTAAAGAGAGTGTACTTTATTAAGTGAAGTACGAAAAAGCAGTTTCATAAAAAGAATAAGTAATTAAAAGCCATTATAATTATGTAACAGCTATAAAAACTAGAATAATATAGGTCTAACTAGAACAATAGTTCCGAAATAATTATATTAATTTGTATGCACACATTTTCAGAGAAAAAGACATAGGCAGATATTTTCATAATCAGTTCTTATTTCAAAAGATTGTCTTATATAATGTTTTTTATGTATAAGTATTTATCATCACTCATAAACGAAACCAACATATTGCTCCGAGCTTTTGCATTTCTATCCCTTTTCTCGTTAGCGCGTTCCCAACCGGCGGGTGGATGGTCGAAGATATGACTTTAATTTCGCGGAGCGCAGCGAGAGAGAGCTTCATTCCCCGCGCGAGATGTATTTCACCTTTTTCTTAAATCTTAATAAAGCAGACGACGGCGAGCCATCAAAAATGCATTAAGCAAATAACAGCGGAGCGTTAAAAATTAAAAAAAAAAGACCTTCGACGCGGACAAATTGCGGACGAGTAATATAAGAATTCATTCGCCGTAAAATGCGATTCGCATGACATTTGTCATAATACGAAAATATCATTTTCACGACGCTGCATCAATTATGCCGAGCGTATTCGCTTTATCAACGTAGCTCTTCTCTCGAACGCGGATCGGTAGAGCTCCGGCGATGGCTGAAGTTGAGGAATCGTCCTGCGGAGGAAACGGAGCGGCCACTCGCTGGGCGAGACGACATGCGGCAATTATTCACCGTAGGATCGCGATAGCTGTAAACAATGTGACGAATCACGCTTTACGCCCGCGCCACGGGAATGTATCTGTTATTGTCGCCGACATTGTTGTTGATCGCGGCTCCATTTTCGCAAGGGAGAGGATCATCGACGTTTTTATACCGAGAACTGCAGGCGTGGAGGATTGCTGACATGCTCCACTTTCGTTTACGCTTTGTTCGTTACCGTTCGACGTACGCCACATCGAACACTTTTATTGTTACTTCAAGAGGAGGAGGAGGAGGAGGAAGAGGAAGAGAAGGAGGAAGAGGAGGGTATGGAAGAGGGAGAGGATAATGCTATGTTTTCTAAAGGCTGATACATACTCACGATGGTAGTTACGACCTTCATGGCTAGTCGGTAAAGACAGGATTAAATCAAACTACTGCAGAGCATCCTAGCGAAAAACTGCACGAGTTTTAAACGAGAACTTTGAAAGGAAAAGCGCATAGCACGTTTGAAGCTATTATCACTAAGAGATAATTAGCCGTCGCTGAGAATTTATTACCAGCGTCATTTGATTGATTACAATCATAAGAAAAGGAGCAAAAAAGTATTACATGGTAACGTTCTACTCTGCGAGCTATTCTATAAAAAGCTGTTTATAAAAAACATTTTGCAATATTCTTCCTGACATGTGATTTTCATTCATAAAATTTCAATCAGCCATTATTTTTATATATCGCTTTCTTACTTCAAAATTGATACACATAAACAATTAAGTTTCCCAAAAAGAAAAAAAACTATTTTTTAACTTGACAGAAAATTATTTACTAATTAAATAATATATATTCTTAACATGATATATAAGATGTCGGTTTTATCACTTTCTCACAACTCTTAAAATCATCCTTTCTTTTAATTACGACAATTTTTTTTAAATCATCATGACTTGAGTTGTGACAATTTTTCCAATTTTTTAAAGAAATTAAGTTAGTTTATATTTGATGATTGATAAGATAATATTTATTTAACTTATTCATGATCGTAACTAAAAAAGTCACGTGTTTTAGTTGTGTTAATTTTGAAGTAAGGGAATTATTTGTTATTGAAGATCTAACAATATATAGCGATTGTATAATAAGGCGGCAATGTAAACAGGCCCTTTCAGTATCGGAAATAAAGAAGTAGAAGTTGAAATAAACCGTTTTGTCATCGAACCATCGAATCGGCTACTGTGATACTTCACGCAACCTTTTCTTTTATTCATGGGTCTGCCAACGAATCCGCGTCGATTTAAATCCATCGCGTTGAATTCAACGTATCTACAGACTTAGAGAATAGTCGATGCGAAAATCCGTTATCAGCGATATATACCGCCCGCAGGCATCGGTATTTTCTCTGCATCTCTCCTTAAATTCCGTTCAATCGAAAAATGTTGTTTCGCAGGAGCATCGCTTTTCCCAACTCTGCGTAGAATTACAGCAACTGATGGTGTTTTTAAGTGATTGATCTCATCACGGTAAAACACTGCGTCAAAAAACTTTTGCTGTGTTTTGAAATTCTACACATATCACTTTTTGCGATCTTCACTCTCGTTCGTTTTGTAATTTATTTCTTTGGAATAAAACTGTTAATGGATCATAGCACAATCGTTTCATAAATCTTTCTCAATTCATCAGAATATTTGACAGCGAAACAGTGATAGATCTCATCATCATATCATATGAAGAGAAGCTTCATTAAGCTTTGCATTTCTTTTTTGCTCATTTTTCACGATATATACTTAATCTTATTTCACTTTTGAAATAAAGATATCATCTTAGAACACAGAGTTATAATAATAGGAAGTCATAACTTCATTCTTAAACTTTGGACTAAAATTAACTGTTTTAACTGTAAATGTTCTCTATAAAAGTTTTCTTTTTTATTTATAAAAACGACACACATTGAAAAAGTTACTCTAGAAGGAAACCTTTATCTTTGAAAACTTTTAGAACAACACAAGTGTTATTTGACAGATGGACTGTAAAATTACGTTAGTTTATTTATGATGATTGACAGAGTAATATTTATCTAACTCGTTCATAGTAATGATTCAAGAACTACATTTTTTGAGTTGTGTCACTTTTGAAGTAAGAGACATTATTATGACTTATGTATTCTACTTACACAGCATCTTTATTTTTCTTTTGCTTTTTTTAATTTATTAGAAACAACAATAAAAATTCTAAATGCGAAACGACGGCTAAACAAAGTAATATTTATTACAGTTAGTGATAAAGTTAGAAACGGGAATGAATGGCGGTGGCGATGACCGAGGACAATAAATGACTATGATAAATAATAATAAAAACGCGAACTCTTCTCATGAATACGAATATTTGAGTTAATTTCATAATGGAACTTTATGGAGCGCGTCGGGAAGCCGAAGTTTCTCCCGAAAGTGCGAGGATGCTAACAATATTTGTAAGACGAGAATTATGGTCAAATGGAAGTGAAGAGGTAAGGGCATCTTGACGCGGAGTAGAACGGGAGATAAGGAATAAAGTGGCAGAAACGGATCCACGAAAGAGACGGCGTGTAGAGAAGCGAGTGCGAAATCGAGGGAGACGGCACACCATTCGTGCGTGTAGCCGAGAAGGAAAAGTTTTCAGCGGGGGAAGAAAAAAGAAAAGAGCGACCTCAGACAGAGGACAGGATAGGCGGGTGGTAGTTGGGAAAATCGGGAAAAGAGAAACAGGGATGAAAACGTCGCAGAACGTGATTGACTGAGACGGAGAGAGCGTCGGCACGATGATGCGAGAGAGAGACAGAGAATACGCGAGAAGGATCGAAGACGGTTGGATCGGTGGAACCGTTGTGCTAGAAGATAGAACGGGAGGGTGGATAGTCGAGCATCCTCCTCAGGTTCGAGTGGTGCGCTTGCGCTATCGTAACCCCCCAGTACACATCCACGTAATGTCATCGCCGAGCCAGTCTGACGCCAGGCGCCGCGACGCTATGACGTCACTGATCCGCGCTTTGCCGACGAATACACCTCGCCTAGCGGTTGAGAACTCATGAATGAAATCCTATTTACCATCAAGTATCCGGAGAGAATACTTGTCGGAGAAACGTGTCTACAAGCACAGGTTCGCACGAACGCGCGCGAGCGTGGAGTCCAATGGTGAACGCCGGGGGACCAATTGGATATAGACTGGTTCCGATCGCGGCATCTATCCATGTTAATCGTGTCAAGTGGCGTGTAACAGAGCCAATCTCGCGCGTGCAATCGCTTCGTGATGCAATTGCGTGGCGAATCGATACAGTTTGAATAGTCGAAATGCCGACGAGCTTCGATCAAGGAGAGCGTATTTGCTAGCAAATTATCGGAACGCGGATATAGTCCGGCTTGATATCATCATCAATCTGCCCAACGGCTAATCTTGACCCAGTCCCTGATGGTCCCTGTTGATAGCGAGCACGTTTCACGAATGACGCGCAAGATTCCCGCCCACCAGCTGGTTTCCCCGCGCTAGTCTTCATTCAGAGCCCTTCGATGGCGCGTTCTCCACGACCTATCGACGTTTTGTGTGAAAGTTGCGCGAGTTGCTGCTGCACACAACGATAATACCTTTTATCGCGCGCTATCGGCTGGCGCGATCGAAAGCTATACGCAGAAACGACGCTTTTGTGCACCTCGGAGAACGGTTCTCTTGTCGATATCCGGTGTGTTTTATGAATGGGCTGTCGCGACAGGAAAGGGTCTCTTGATAATCAGGCTTCCGTGGCCTTTCAGCACAAACGTTCTCCGGAGAATTTGCGAGCTGGAGAACGAGAAATTGCTCCCGTATTTCCTCGTTCGCAGTTGCTTCTGCTTCACGTATCTTCGAATCTTTCCTTCATCAAACTCACCTCGATTGCACGTTTCAGCGTAATAATAAACGTATACGGAAAAAATGATTTTATTTAAGTATCTAATAATTTAGCTAGATTTAGATCTGAAAATAATTTTATTGGATCATCAAAATAATTGCGCAGGAATCTCAAGCATGATAAGCAATGCTACTTAAAGAAGGTTCAGCGTTCAACAGTTTTTTAACAACTATAGTTTAAGCGTCGTACATAATTTTGATGCTCCAACAAAATTGTTTTATTATTAAGTCTAGTTAAATTTTTAAATATTTCAACACTATTCTTTCCGTGTAGAAATGCATGATTCATATGAAAAGAACAATTGTACTGAAGTATCTAAACATTTATGTAGATTCAGATCTCAAAATAATTAACAGATCTCATCATAATAATTTTGTTAGATAATCAAAATAATTACATAGAAATCTCAAGATTGTTGAGCAATGCTGCTAAAAAGTTTTAACATTCTATAACAAACAGTTTGATTATCGTCACACATAATTATTTTAATAATCCAACAAAATTATTATCAAGTCTTGTTAAATTTTTTAATATTTCAACACTGTTCTTTCCGTATCAAAATGCATGTTTTACACGAAAAAAATAATTTTGTTTATCTAAAAATTTAGCTATATATATTTAGATTTAAAAATAATTTTGTTGAATCATTACATAAGTTGAAATAATTACATAAGAATTTCAAGCATGATGACAAACAATGTTGCAAAAAGTTTTAATATTCTAGCAACCAAATTAACATTTATGAAACAAAAAACCCATTATAGTAGTGCTGAAATAGTATTACATTTTGAGGCAAGAAATACAATAAAATAAATATAACAAATCTTACTCAAGAAAAATCTTTTGTAAAATTAAAAAAAATTAATTCCCGCTCTTTAAAAATTAAGCATCCTACATAATTATTTCAATGGCTCTGTCAAATTATTTTTAGATCTATTATTAGGTGTTGGAATTAATTCGTAGCGTTTTTAAATGAAAGAATGTTATTTATTTCACATGAGCATTAAAAAATACATTAATGAAAGTACTTCCCATCACTTGTAAAACGCTACGAATTAATTCCAACACCTAATATATTTCTAGCTAAATTTTTATATACATATATATAATTTAACCTCAGTAAACTCGTTCTTTTCATATAGGAAACGTACGTCCAGGTGTCATATCAGCGGGAGGTCAAGGGTACAACATGACTTAGACCAGAAACTAATCATTCAGCAAGATTCTCTCTCTCTCTCTCTCTCTCTCTATCTATCTAACTATCTATCTATCTATCTATCTATCTATCTACCTATCTCCTCTCTTCCTCTCGGCTTTCGACCTTCCCGAATTTCACAGGATCACCCACTGCCATCCCGCTTCTCTCATGCAGATCTACTTCCGCAATTTCGTTCACGCGACACGGCATGAACAACACATGAATCAAAATTCTCCCGGTATCGGACGCGCTTAACTGAACTTCACGGGAACGCGACGCGACGCTACGCGCCACAGCGAGACCGCGACGTGACGTGAATTCGCATTTAGCCAACTAATCTGCATTCTACATTCGCGAATTTTTCCCGAGAATGAGATCTCGCTTGGATCCTCTTTCTTTGGTTTCTTCTTTGCCGCGCCGCATACGTCATTCAGAAGCGACTGTGTGAGATCTCCATATTAAAAGAAAGAAGAAGAGAGGCTGCCTTCAACTTTATAGTAACTTCATCCCATCAGCCACTCTTTCGCGTGAATACTGTCCTGTTCGTCCATTGTTATTCCGTTCCTAAGTTTTTACAAAGTTCCAACGATGAACGGCTTTGTTCTGAATCTCACGGCGTGTGTCGGACTGTATTTTCCATTCTCATTCAACTTCTCCACGAATCGAAGCTTTTCCTTTAGCCGAGAATTTTCGTTACGTTCAATCGTGACTCAATTAAACCGCTCGACGATGGTAAGTGCTGCGAAGAGATTGGAATAGATATAGAAAGCGGGAAAAGGTGCGAGTCATTATTCACTGGCACTAACGACGTCGCGATAAATACGCTGATAAAAGCCAAGTCCACAAGTTTCTTCTGTCATATATCAATTCGCGCAATTAAAACGTAATTACTTTAATATTATATTTTTTAAATTCTTCTCTTGATCGTTTTTTATCGCATACTTAAAAAAAATAATGATAATCTACCGAGTTTTAATTTAATAATCCGCCATGTTTGTAGGTATTTAAGAAGGTCAAATTAAACTTTGTGTAATTAAAATTTATTATATTAATCCTCCGAAGTTGACGTCAAAATTTATAATCACAGTTAGTGATTTTGGATCTGTGAAACCCATTTATGTTAAATAAAATTAATTAATTTTAATCAAAATGACATAATTCACAAAAAGAATGAATATATTAAGTTTACTTTAACAATAATCCAAATTTGCAGATGTAACATAAAAAAAATTAAATTGTTTGACATTTTTTAGATTTAATATAATTGAATGAGTTCAAAAAGACATAAAAAAGAATAAGTATGTGTTATATGTTAATACTAAGTTTATCTTAATGACAATATCATCAATTCAATTAACAATGATTTAATAACAATAATTCAATAATTAACAATAATTCGGTTATATTCTTGAGGCTTCTATACGGGTGCTTTCTAAAGATAAAGATTATGCGTTTCACGGATTTTCTCCGTGTCCAGATCCATTCTTAGAATGCCAACGTTTCGTGAATTTCGCATCAGTACTATACTCAGGCTGCTCCTCGCCCTGATGAAGTGGACTGCGAAGTTCACGAAACGTTGGCATTCTAAGAATGGATCTGGACACGGAGGAAACCCGCGAAACGCATAATCTTTTAAATAGTTAATTTAATTCAGTTAATTTAATTAATAACAATAATTCAAATTTGCAGCTTTGTGATATAAAATAAATAATTAAGTGAATCCCATAGATCTATCGTCAGCTTCGAAGAATTAAATAGCTCCATATTTTTCCATATTTTTATCCTATTTTATTAGCAGTTGAAAAACCTCTAGTGATAATAAACGGCAAAGAAGGCGAAAGGGAAATATTGTAATGGTTATCGCTTCAGTAACAAACGGCTTGATATATATTCTTTCACGGCATCTGGAAAACGATAGGATTAAAGGCGGTCGTAGCAGGACAAGCGAATCGCGACAGCGACAGAGCTAAGGAAATACATTTAGTGGAAATTCCATTTAATCCCGGGATAAGGTTAGAGATATCGCCGTTGGCCTTTAAAGCCCTTCATATAATGGCCCAAAAGGGATTGGCTAGCACAACTTCTGAAAGTAACCTGTATTGGTCGTTTCGTCTTATGACCTTTGAAACTTTAATACGCTCGATCTGAGACAACATTATATCTTTGCTTGTGACATTCATTTGCATTGAACTCAAATATCTCGTCAATCTCGATAGATAAAAGTCGTTGCGAGTATTCGATGAAATCGTATTCAGTTTTTAATCAGGGACGAATTTCTCTTGACTAAGTAACCACTTTGATGAACTTCTGCAACATTCCTTAGCCTTCTCCGAGATCGTTTCAATTTTCCGATACGATCTTTGCGAATTGAAGCTCGTCGGCGCACTTTAAAACTTCAACCGAAGAAACCAAGCGGTGGGATTAATGATTCCACGAAGCTTATCGCACCGGAAAATTGTTCTCCTTCCCCTCGAATACCCACCTATAATTCGCGATTCAAACACAGTTAGATCTCTAATTTTTAGCTCTAATTTCCGTGCTGACGGTTCAAAACTGGCGTATCAAGTGCGAAAGAAAAATGGAAAGCTGCAATTTCGCTACCGGGAGAGCTCATGTTCTCATTAAAATTTCCCCTTGTCTTCTCCACAGAGGAAAAGCAATATCATCGAAAGGAAAACCTACGTGGGAGGAGTATCAACGAATCGACTCCGTTAGCAAAACGACGCGAGTGATACCGAATCCCGAGTCGTAATTAAATCGATTAAGCACACTTTCGTCCCTCTATCGCCTCGAGGAAATTAAATTAAACTCTACCGTTTCGCAATTCGGCATCATCGTGCTCCTCGACTGCAACGCAAATTTATCGAAAAATCCAGACGGCATTCTTCTCAAGAAGAAAGTTTTCGCCATTCTGCAAAACACCATCAGCTTTCAGATTGAATTCACCGGCGAACTTGCCGAGGTGGGGGTGGAAATTGCACAGCAGGCGAAGAAACTTATCGAGTGGAATTCGATAGAGTATCTTCGCAGCTATATACGAAACAGAAGTCAAGGAACTCGGTGGGAGAACGGCGGGCTTTCACGGAGGAGGCGATTCACGTCTTGCGCCTTGAGGGAAAACTTCATCGTCCAGCAAATCCTTTCTGTCCTCGTAAACCAACGGCGGAAGCGTCGTATTCTCCAGTCGTTCCCGGCATATCCGTCGAACCTCGCGCTCTTTCCCCCTACCGTTCTTTCGGATCGTCGGTTGCAATTTGGCGAAATCGCGAGAGATGCGAGACGGACGGTGAGAATCCGCAACGAAAGAGATCCAGCGGAGTAGAAGCGGAGTTCTCGCGGCTCAGCGAGAGAAGATCGGTGTAAATCGCTCGCGTTAGATTCTACACGGCTCCAGGCTACGAAGATGGGTAAGAAGAACAGCAAGCTCAAGCAGGATACCATCGATCGCCTCACCACCGACACGTACTGTAAGTAGCAATAACCTTCTTAGCTCGTATACTCAGTACCATCTCTTTTATCACATTGTCGTTGTTCAAGCGCGTGCGAAATCGCACCATCAGCGGATTATATCGCACGACGGAGGCGCGTGTTCCTGATTATCGCGACTATCATAAATTACCGATTGTGCGCACAGCGCGCGATATTTCCGCGTTCGCCGGTCGTAAACGCCAAGTTAAATCGTCCGGGATGGTCGCGATGAACGGTTGCGCCCCTTTCAACATAACTCTCGAAAAAGTGGGTCTTCCGAGTCGCGAATTCTTCCGACCGAGCTGATGCGAAAATCGTGGGACCAAAAGACGAACGGCGGGCTCCTCTTTTGATTTTTCCGACTGACCTATTATGTTATTTTGGCTATCCATGCAACCGCAGCCTCCACCATTGAACTGTCTCTCTTTAGCTTTCTCTCTCTTTCTCGCTCTCTCTCCTTATCTATCTATCGCTTTCTCTCCGCATTCCCTCTGTCTACACGCTAAACGCGCATCGATCGCGCGGCCGTTCAATACGCGTTGCAATGACGACGTACCTTTCTTCATTCGATAAAACGCGTTTAATCCATTCCACAAAGTTTGCCTGTCGGAAACGACAGTACACCGTGCTTCCATGCCACGTGGCTTTGTTTCCGTTGAACGAGAGCTCGATTCGATAGTGAACGCGACGTCTACAACCGCGGAATTCTATTTAATCTTTCAGCAAAAAGTTGTGTGACACCGGTAAACTGCATTTACGACCAGTAATATTTACATCAGGCGGTTTTACACTAGGTTTAAATAATTTATAAAACAATAGTAAGAACACACACACACACACACACACACACAAATGGTAGCAGCAAAAATCATCAAGAACCTCTTCAAATGATAAATGCGACTCTCGAAATTATACAAAGTAGGCTACAGAATTCTGATGATTTTCAAAATAAAATAATGGTATGAAATATAACTTAAATATTAATTTCTTGATACATAATCATAGGAAATGAAATGTCATAATATATCTGACAAGAGAACTATCGGAACTGTGTCTCACTGATTTTGATGGACTTTGAATTTGTTGTACAGCATTAAAAAGTATTAGACTCGTATTTTTTTATCTGATTATCTCAAGATTTAAAGGTCAAAATAATTTTTCGGAAATAATACTTTTTTTCATTTTTAGCGAATGTATTGCTGAATTAATAAAACTATGAGATATATGAAAAAATTTTACACAAAAGTTTTATGATATTTTATATTCTTAATAATAGTTATAATATTCTCATATTTTCAGGAAAAAATTTTTTAATTTAAAATGAAAATGTAAAAATTATGCTCAAATTTTAGCACAACAAACAAAAAAGATCAAAGTATAGTGCGGTTAGAAAGTCGCAAGTTATGATGTAAAAAAAAACTTTTATTACTTTACAAGAAGGATAATGTCATTAATATAAAATTTGTTTATCATATTAATTTAGATTTATAAAGTTAATTTAAAGTTTCTCGATATTTTCTCAGTCTTTGAAATGCTACTTTAAGTTTGTCAATCTGTGAATAACCTTAATGAACTACTAAACTAATTTTCGAAATCTTTATGATTTCATTATTGAAGAGGACATCAAAATGAGTTAACACGTACAATTTGGAATATTGATAACATTATCTTTTTTTTTTAAGTAATTTAAGTTTTGCATCATAACTTGCACCTCTCTAAGTGCGCTATATTTCTAGCCTTAATTTTCTTTGTTGTTTAATTTATTCCTCAAGTATTGTTTCGAAACTTTGAAATAAGCAAATAAGCAGATAAAAAAATATAGATTTAATATTTTTTTTACTCTACAACATAGTCAAAGTTCATTAAAATCAATGAAAGACAATTCATTAAAATCGGTTTCGACAGTTTCCTTGTGAATATATTTGAATGATGATTGCGTTCAAGACAAAGCAACTCAGTGAGCGCTCAGTGATTCTTAATTACGTTTGATTTCTACACTTAGATCCAGAAGAACTGAAGAAGGATAAAAACCAATCATACTAAAGAACCAATAAACGCTCTCCGCTTTGACTGAATATAGTCTTCACTTATTTGTGTTAAACATTTCTTGGTCGATTTTCATTTATTGTCATTTATATTTAAGTTATAATTAATATTGTTATTTTATTTAAAGAAATTGTCAGATGGTCTATCCTGTATAACATACACACTTATAATTGTCACGTGAAAATTATCGCGTCGTTAGTCACGCTAACGTCAACTAAATATTCTCTACGGGTGCGCAAAAATTGGACGACGCGGCGGCGGGCGGAATTCTCGGTGAATTATTCGGGTGAAAATGCGAAGGGCAGGTGCGCTTTTGGCCCTATACACTTCCAAATGATTACTCTGGCGCTGGTGATAGCTTTCATGTAGACCCTTATTAGGATTTTCGCCCTTATCTCAGGTAGACTGATGCGACCTCGTCGCAAGCAGATTCGATTAATAAACATTATGTACGGAAATGCACAAATCGTTTGACAAACGTTTTATTAAAGCCACAGTGGCAGATCTGAGATAATTAAGTCAACATTTTTCTACGTCGATATCCTTTCTAAAGGCCAGCCTCTTGGGATATCGATCGTACCGTGATTAATGATAAGAGGATATTGTCCTTTATGTCACGTTCAATTCAATTGTTTGCTCGAGTCAGAACATAATTATTATAATGTAGATAAGGATATATCAGCCCCCCATAAAATTCTACTGCTTAGAATTTGCATTATTCCTCAGAATTTTAGTTTTTGCTTACAATATTTAAATCGTTAAATTTAATAATATATTTCCTAGAGAAATCTGAAAAATATACGACATTCTTATTTTGCATCACGCTGACAGTTTCTAGTTAGACAAAACTGTATCGTGTAGTTCAACCGACATTTTTGCTCACATACAAAAAATAATTACTATGATAGATGAGATTATATTATATCAACTCCAAAAATTCTATCTTTATTTCATATAGAATCTGTATTATTTCTTTAAATTTCCGTTTTTAGGATACTTAAAATTTCATAGATAAATTTCCTACATAAATCTGAAACATACGCTAAACAAAAACGACATTCCTGTTTTGCGCCTCGTTGATAGTTTCTAGTTGAACGAAACTATGTCAGATATAGACCGGAGTATGCACAAGATCTTTGACAGTCCAGTTGTCATGACTTATTTGCCTATGCATTTTAATAACCGCCAATTTGTTAAGTCGATCGACCGGATGACCCAGTAATAAAAAGTTGCATACATCGAGGGATACCGCGAAGTATACTCATTGCAAGACTAACTTTATTAAACAGGTAGTTCCACGTGAGTTTACACGTGCATCAATAATGCGTACTAAAGTAGTCTATCACCGCGTCAGCACACATTTAATGTAAAACGCTATTGTCAACGTCATCGCGCTTTGATCTCGAGAATGAAGTAAATCGTGTCAGATTGAATACAAACTGCGCACGTGGCAATGTTTATACGTTTACCCCGTTTTCGAACAAGGTGCTACCGATGTGAAATATTAATTTCGTTCGAACGCGATCGCACAAATATTTATCGACACGCAAGAAAAGTGACTAGGTTTCAATCAATTCACGCACATATTTGTTTTGTAATTAGTACAAAGGTAATAAGAAGACCTGGAATAATGTTTGCGTCATCACCTTAATTGCCTGTCGGACACGCCTTATGGCAATGCACGGTACAAATTAACCCCTTTAGACCCAGCGTACATTGTAATGTACATTAAATTAGAAGACATTATCCGTTGAAATTATTTAATGCTGTTAGCATCATTTAAGATCTGATGTACATAATAATGTATATGTTGGAAAAATAGTCAAAATTTTGAAAAAAATTAGTTGTTTAGTATAAATTATTTATTTAAACACGCATAAACTGAATTAAAAAAAAAATTTTTTTAACAGTTCCAATAAAGTTAGATCTGAAGGGATTAATTAACCAAAGCGTAACTACTTACCGAAATTGACAGAAAGCTTAGAGTATTTTTATTTTGAGTTATTATGCAGTAACGTGTTGAGTCGCGTCGACAAAAAATTGTAATCTCGCTCTACAATATTCTCTGGTTTGTCGCTTTTCTTTCTGTAAAATTCGCATATCGCGCTCGTTTACTGTCCTATTTCCGCTATAACCCGTGTATGAGAATAATCCAAGTGCAACTTTACGCAGACCGCACCTAACAAACATCAAAGCCTTGTGCTTTGAATTACATTCTCCAACGATATTTTATTCGCTTGTTCGTAGTGTAAAATAATAATTTTCACTGTCATTAGTTTAAATAGTCTATTTAACTTTTATTTGCAATCAGATAATTTTTAAACATTAAACATTAAATAATATGCGATATAAAATTCACTACGTAGAAAGAATGGTTTTGTTAAAGTATCTAAAAAAAATCAAATTATCTATATACTGAGAGAAAAATATATCTATTAAATTTTAATTAATAATTGTTTGAATAGTACTGATATAACACTTATTTACGGAAAATAAATTTTTTTGTTTATTAAATGAAAAAATATAATAGTTAAATCAAATCAATAATTCTTGTATCAAATAAATATACGTTTAGTAAATATTCGACTAATACTATTCAAACAATTATTTATTAAAATGTATTTATTACATATTTATTAAAATTTACATTTTTCTCTCAATGTATTAAATACGAGAGAAAATTTAAATTAAATACAGATTTAAAAATAATTTTATTTAGACCATCAAAATAATTATGTAAAACGCTCAAAACTGGTTGTTAAAATATTTGAACTTTTTGTAACATATCATCAATACTTAAACGTTCTATATAATTATTCCGATGATCCAACTAAATTATTTTCAAATATGTATCCAACTTTTAGATACTTCAACAAAACTATTATTTTCGTGTAGACATTTAAACGACAACAATTTTCATCCAATGTATAAATTCCGCTTTAGTTTAAAACTG